CATGTCGCCAGAGATTGTGGCCGCCTCTGCCTCCGATTCAAACAAAGTCTGCCTCCGATTCGAACAAAGAAGAAATAAAGAGTCTGAAAGTTCTTCAGAGAGAGAGAGGGAGAGGGAGAGAGAGAGAGAAAGAAAGAAAGAGAACGATATATATATATATATATATATATATATATATATATATATATATATAGAGAGAGAGAGAGAGAGAGAGAGTGTGTGTGTGTGTGTGTTTGAGACCCCCTTTGCATATTATTTCATTTTTTTGAAAATAAGAGAAAACATCATAAATTGTCCCTATGTAAGTGATTGATGAAAATGTCTTTCATTTAGCGGACAAAACTTAATGAAGTTATCAATAAGGATCAATCGTCAAAAGTTTTGAAATCACATGGACAATCTATGGGGTTTTTAAACCATGAGGACTAAACTTCAGATCTCGGGAAACCATAGGACCATTTATGATGTTTTTTTTTTAAATTTTAGGGGGTGTCGACTTTCTCCCATATTTATGGCGATTTACACTTTCAACACATATCTTTTAAAGTTTATCGATTTTTCTCATGTTACCCTAATAGTGGCGTAGCCACGGGTTCTTTACTTTTATATATATATATATATATATATATATATATATATATATATATATATATATATATATATATATATATATATATATATCAAAATTTATGGTTTTTAATTTTTTATAAATAAAATATAATTTTGATATATTTTATATGGCCATATGATGGTGTTTTTATAACTTTGATTGTTCTATAAGTAAAAAGTCTTTGAATTAATAGAAAAAATATGAGTAAGAAATGAGAACAATAATGGAAGTTCAATGGCTTAAATATCACCATTTGGATTTACATTGCCAAATAGTGATGTTTTTGTACTCATTTAAGTTAATTAAAAGTCCTATTAGGATGAATATATCAAAGTATCCAAGACTCCATTTAGATCCCGACAAATTTATTCCAACTTAATCCCTTCATAATCTACAAAAGACACTTAAGTCCCTCCACTTTATTACAAATGCTAAACCTGCACAAAACTAAGAAATTCATAACAATTCAATACAATTTACCAATTCAAGGTTGTATAAAATACTTTTCCGAACATGTCTTTAAAATTTGGAGAACTCTTAGACACGATAACACTTTTTCCAAGACATGTTTTAAAAATGAGAAAGTTCTTATAACAAGTTTTAAATGTCAATTTTTGAAAGCATGTATAAACCAGCTTAAAGTTAGAACCATAATATGGTTTAGTATTGATCAAATATAAAGGTTTACCAACAAGCATCTGATAAGCAATAATATTATTCGGCAACACATCTTATAAATTCACACCCTCTTTACTTACTACATCATTAAGACCTGAAGGAATTCAATAGGTTTACAATACAAAAAATCAAACTCATGTGGTAATTCCAAACAATATTCACTTGTGAATGACAAAGTCCAAATGAAATTTCAACAATCTCAATACCTAGAATGCATTTTAAGTTTCCAAGGTCCTTAATCGATAACAAAGTTTTCAAAAAAAGAAAAAAAAAAAACTTCGACACTTCAAGTTTCTTTTTCATAATTTCATGCAAGAAGAATATCATCTACACAAACCAATAGAATCACAAACACATGATCATTTGATTAGGTAAACAATCAATAATCACTTTTACTTTGAATAATCCAAATATCAAATAAAGAATTTGTTGGTTTTTAATCCACTTTCTAGCAATGTTGTAAAAAGCATTTGATGGTAGCTCGACGGTCGACTGATATTAAAGGATTAATTGGTTTTGGCAGAGATTAATCGAGGATTAATCGGAAACCATAGATTATTAATAAAATATTAAAATTAATTAAATATTAATATATCTTAAGAAAAACAAGTACTTCAAAATTAGAAAATAAAAAAAAATTGTAATTTGAAAATTTGGAAATACAAAAATATGAACATTTTGATATAATATTTGAAATTTTGAAAATTTGAAAATTTTGGAGTAAAAAAAAAAGTTGGTTTTTTGAATTTTTAAAATTTTTGTTAAATTTCTCTTGACCTTTTTTTGACTTTTTTCGACATTTTTGACTTTTGTTGACCGATTAATCCCGCCAAGGCTGATTAATCCCGTCACACCCGATTAATCATAAATTTCCGATTAATATCATAATCCTCGATGGTTGGAGAACGTCAAACGATTAATCCATGATTAATCGCCGATTAATCCCGATTTCTGCAACCATGCTTTCTAGAGCATGTTTCAAACCATATAATGACAACCAATTTGCACATATGTTGATCATCTTGTGAAAAATATCCTTAAGGATGATTCATATACACCTATTCTTCAAATGATCCATATAAGAAAGCAGAATTTACATCAATTTGGCAAGGATTTCAATTATAACTAATAGCCATAGAAATGACACTCCTAACAATTACCAATTTAGCAACGGATGAAAATGTTTCGTCGAAATCAAGACCCCCACATTTGGCAACTATCCGAGCTTTATAAAGCTCAATATCACCATTGGATTATGTTTTATCTTATAGATGCACATACAACTAATAGTTTTTCTACCACTAAGTAGATTGGTAATTGTGTTAGGATAGTTAAATAAACGAGTTTTGAAGTGAAAGTACTTGTTATAAATGATTTAGTAAGGTGAAGTGATATAACTGTGACAGCTTTTAAACAATGCTAACACGGATTATAATGATCAAAGTTTTAATGAAATTTATGTTTAAGTACGATGTACATATGTTAATGAATGGAAAAATATATCACATACTTAAAATCCAGTTTAGGATGCTAGAAGAAGTTGATATAATGGATTATTTATGGTGTTGGAAAGTAAAGTGTAAACTAGGTTCAAATTTGAGAATTATGACAGATATGTTCCATTACAGTGGCGGAGCTAGATGGGGCGTTGGAAGTACTACAGTACCCCCAAAAAACTATTTTATATATATAAAAAATATTATTTATAAACATTTTTCATGTTACTGTACCCCTAACTAAAGAGATTATAACATATTTTTTAATGCTTGATATTGGATAATTACATATAATATATATTAACAATGTTGTACCCCCATATCAAAATTCCTGGTTCTGCCGTTCCAATGATCAAAGATTAAGTAAAGTTTATGTTTTGAAAATTCATAATATGTTTAAGAATGATAATTTATATACGCGAAACTATACTTAGGCAAGAAATGGTAAAAATGAGTAGGCAAGATGGGAAATCTTATGAAGATATGAAAAGAATAGATAACGTGAAATGAGGCTTATATCACTTATTTTCGTTCGGTTTGTAGTTAAGACAAATAGAAACAAGTAGCAAAATATATAATCATCAGATAACGTGAAATGAGGCTTATATCACTTATTTTCGTTCGGTTTGTAGTTAAGACAAATAGAAACAAGTAGTAAAATATATAATCAATACAATTGGAGTTGAAATGAGAAAATTACAGAGACAAAAAAGGAAACCGTTTATTAAACACCACACTATATATATATATATATATATATATATATATATATATATATATATATATATATATATATATATATATATATAAACACACTTAGGTTCAAATAAGAATAATAATATTCATGTGTGAATGTTAACCATGAACACTAGGCTACATATTTTTTTTACCGCAAAACCCTTTAGTATATTGGTGTGACGGAAGAATGTAATATTTATATGTGAATAAGTATATTCATATTCTCAAGTGATTATATATATATATATATATATATATATATATATATATATATATATATATATATATATATATATATATATATATATATATATATATATATATGGGTAAAGTGAATATACCTAACAACCTTATATAAGCTTAGGTACCTAACTCCATAATATTACATCGGTTTGTATCATATTTACATTGTAATTGCTTAAGGTTCCTAAACTTCAACCCCATAACTTGATTACTTCCAAAATCTTTGGATTTTCAACAATATATTTCTTTTACATCACGTCTTTCTATTGAATACCATCTAATGGGCTTCATATCCTACCGCTACAAATGAAAGGATGTAGGAGAAATATAATGATAAATTTTCAATTTTTTTTGAAGTAAATCAAGTTTAGGGATGAAATTTAAGAACCCTTGATGATTGCAATGAAAATTTAATGCAAAATGACGTAGTTTGATGAGGTTAGGTACCTAAGCTTATATAAGGTTGTTAGGTATATTCACTTTACCCTATATGTATATATATATATATATATATATATATATATATATATATATATATATATAATCTATTCTTCGGTCGTCCCGGTACGTTCATCCGTCATGTTGGTACGTTATAAGGTTTTGCAGCAAAAATAAATATGTGGCCTAGTGGTGGTTGCGTTAGTTGTGGTGGTGGTGATTTATATTCACGTATGAATATTAAGTTCCGTCGTCGCGCTAGTACACTAGAGGGTTTTGCAACAAAAAAATATGTGGTTTAAATTTGTTTTCACCATCCTAGTTTAATAATTGTTCTCATTTGAACCTTCCTATATATATATACTAGTAGCGTACCCGCGCGATGTAGCGGCGGAAAATATTTTTTTATCGGTGAATAGTTTATGTGCCGCAATTAGTTTCATTCGAGGGCTATCTTTGTTAAAAATAAATGTACAATGTTAAGCAAAAAAATTTATATACTTATTTTTCATGTATGATGTAGCATTTTGTGGCAATTCATGATCTGTCTTGAAGAAATATGATGTTCATTTTAATATTCTATGATGGTTAAGAAATAAATGTTTAATCCAAAGAATAAAATTACCAAAATGAAAAAAAAAAAAAACAAAAAAACGATACAAGAATTGAAACATATATAGTCTAAAGTTAAGTTGGTTATAATAAACAAAAAAGTGAGAAACGTTTGTTAGCTTTAATTTAGAAATTTGAATATTATTATATTTTATCTACAAAAATTTCTAATGCTTACACTTGTGCACTATGACATCATATATATCTAAGATTATAAAACAAACCACTGTTTTACTTTGAAGATATAATAGCATAAAAAATACAAAATCCATTCCACATGAACAAAACAAATATAACACAATGAAATCATGCATTTGCTTTATAATTCCACGTTCTTATATGAAGTATCAACCCCTAGGCAATCCACATTCTTATATGGAGTAGCAGTTTTCAGGTTGATCACTTGTCAAAATCCTAAAATCAAATCAAACATTCAGATTCCAAATTTACTGAAACCATAACAACATATAGTAAACTATAGCAACACATAGTAAAGCAGTGATAGTATTTCTAAGCATGATACAAAATGAGGCCAACACTTAGAAAATGTCTATATTATAAACATCAAAACCCGCATTGAAACCAAAAAAAGTCAATAAAAAGATATACAAGGCAATCCAAGTTTTTTGAAAATCGAATTACTTCAGGAACAAGGAATGGAATTAGCATAAAAATTTGCTAAAAACATTATAAGTTGTCGGCGAAGACTCTACATCTAGTTTACTATTCAAAATCATGTTAGATATTTGAGAAAGATGAAACTTTTAAACCAATACCCTTTCAAAAGAAAACATCTTATGCTTATAGTAGAACAATAATATCAACAATTTCAAAAAGTCATGGAAATAGCAAATTCAAGATCGAAATATTCAATAACACAAAATAGATTCAGAAGACTATTGGAAACTCAAAAGAATAATAAATATTTATAAACAGATTCAATGACTATCTATGAAAAATAGTAGACTTCAGGAGTCATATGAGACATTCAATAGGATACGTGAAGGGTAGCGTAAATTAGGTAATAGAGGTGATCGGGTCGGATAGTTGGGTGGAGGTTTGTGCCATCTACATAAAAAATCAAAGATATCAGGATTATAGTAACATAATCAATTTTTAAACTTTGGAAGAGCCAAAACTGAAATCAATAATCAATAGGATTTTCTTAAAAGATGCAAGTCAAAGCATACCAAGTATTGATCTTTAAAAGAAAATAGTTTCTCTTGACGACCTTATTTCTATATTATTGAACTGCAATACAAAATGAAACATAGTTAAGATCCATCATCATAGCTTATTTGTTCAACTACAAAATAAAAAAAAAAAACCCAACAGTGGTTTGTATGTTTCCTTAAAAATAGACTAAGGATATGCAATGCAATTTCTTTAAACCAAAGGATGCATCTTGTCAAATTTTTAAAGATTAGACTGAAAGAACAAATCTAATCAAACCACAAGGACTAAAACTGTAATTTACTCTTCATAATAATAACACCCTCATATGCATAACATTTAAAGCTAAACCCCAACCATATCTACTCATTCATGAGCCACAACCACAACTTGCTTGCCAACATTTTTGCCTGAAAAAAGACCTAACAAAGCCGCAGGTGCACTCTCAAGCCCTTCTGCAATATCTTCAATGTAACATATCTTCCCTTCTTTTATCAATGGTATAACCATTTCCATGTACTTTGGATACAAGTTAATATGATCACCTACAATAAATCCTTTCATGTGAAGTCGTTTCATTATTATGTGTGATAAATTCCTCATACCCTCCTCTTCATTGAGGTTGTATTGTGAGATCATTCCACAAACCGAAATGCGTCCATTTGTTTTCATGTTTAAAAGCACTGCCTCCAACATCTTTCCACCAACATTCTCAAAATATATATCAATTCCTTCTGGAAAGTATCTGAGATTAATTAGAAAAAAAAAAAAAGAACATTACAAAAAACTAATCTTTATATTGGTCTTTCGTGTGACAATTATATATGTTCTTTGTTTGGGTTAACTAACCTTTTAAGAGCTTCATCAAGATCTTGCTCTTCCTTGTAGTTAAAAGCCTCATCATATCCAAATTTATTCTTCAATAGCTCAACCTTGAATGACACATGTTTTTGAGAAATGTATGCCAATACATCATCATATAACGGAAAATAACGCTCAAATTAATCACCTTTTCATTAGTTCCAGCAGTCCCAACAACATAGCATCCGGTCAGCTTCGCAAACTGCCCGACAAGCTGACCGACTGCCCCCGAAGCAGCTGAAACAAAGACATACTCTCCTTTCTTTGGAGCACAAATCTCATAGAAACCATAATACGCAGTCATACCATGCACACCTTGAAGAAACCATCAAAGGAATAGAAATCATTTTACAGAATTAATTAAAGATCCCTAATTTACAGAATCTTAAAGGTTTTTAAACATAAAACATACCAAGGATTCCTATATAATAGGAAAGAGGGACATCCGTATGTTGAATCTTGAATAGGGCATCAGGAGCAGTGATAATGGTGTATTCTTCCCATCCAATCCATCCCCAAACTAGGTCACCTTTCTTCAAGTTTGAATGCCCAGAATCCACCACTTTAGCCACTCCTAATCCTGCTATGGGCTGCAACATCAAAACGTTCACAAGCCAGATTATAATTTTGTGGAAACTGATAACCACTGAGCATTAAAAGTGATATAGCAGATAGCTTTATTGGTTGTTACAAGGTTCACAAAGGACATAATAGATGGTGAATGAGTTTGGAATGCTTAATTGTAACTTAAAGTATGCATTCATAAAGGGATAGATTTCCCCTAAAAAAATATGAGAATGAGTGTGGAATTCATACCGAACCAGGAGTGAAGGATTCAAGGTGACTGACTTGACTTTTGCTCATCAGACAACACAGGTATGGATCACAGGAGAGATAAAGGTTCTTGACAAGAACGCCATTGGAGCCTTGTGGGAGCTTGAGGAGAATGGTGGAGGAAGTTGTAAGGAGCATGTCTGATTCCTTGGGGAAGCCATTAACGTAATCCTTCAATATCACCTGCTGATTTCTCACTTCTTCCATTTAGCTGATAGAAAAAGAACTAGAGCGCACAAATTATAAATTTATTGTGTATAATCCATTCCTCGTTGAGTTTGACCTAATAAATACATAAAAATAATATAAAAATCTAATTAGTACACGTTTTCCTTTCTCTAGACATCTACATCGTCGGTCCCAGGGTTAATTTACATATTTTCACTTGTGGATGCCCTTCACTTGTGGATGCCCCACATGGCCGGTCCATGAGGTCAATAAAAAACATGTTTTTTTTAATTGAATTTTTTCAATAACAAAAAAAAGTTTTGAAAAACAAGAACCTATTGCTATTGGATGAATATTTAAGAGTTTGTTGATTAGTAATTTTTCTTTTGATTTTTTTAAACCGGCGAATATATATATTAATTATAAGACCAACCTCTAGCAAGTGACTAGACGAGGGGAAATAACAAAGTACAAATATTAAGATTATAGATTTCAGACAAAGAAACGGAGATTTGTACCATGTTGACCAATCAATACTCCTATTCTTCCCCTGTTTTTGATCCACAAGTATGTTGTGGATTTGATAGAGTCTACACAAATAAGAGCGGGAAGCCGGTTTTTATTGAAAATTATGTTATTCTTTACTTTCCATACGTTTCAGAGCGTGACGTAACAGATTCCCATGAACAACCTTCTTTTATTAGAGCAATTGGACCATGTATGAACATAGGTGATCACCTCATCTACTTTTTTGAGGTCTTCGAGAGGAACTCTGTACCATTTTAGCACCAAGTGTATAATCGTATTCACATATCTACACCCCACCAATGAGTGATCTACACATTCCATGACTTCTTCACAGTGGCTGCATAAGGAATTTTCCACAGCTACCCCTCTAGATAAAAGGCCCAAAGCTGATGGTATTTTGCCCATTTTAGCCCTTAAATGAAACAATTATTTTTAGTTGAGATATCCTTCAACCATGTAAACTGACCTAGACTTAGTGTGGGGTTGAAGTCCAATCTTTTCAGTGAACTTTCACTCTAAGGGATCCGTCATCAGTGAGATTACACTTCCACGTTTCACCACCTAGACCTGGTTGTTTGTATAGCACTGTTTCAGTATGAATACCCTTATTTTGAAGGTACTTTCCGATACTCGCAATGTTTTTCCACACACCTGGTATATATTTGTTTGCATAACAGTGGTCGGGTTTATTTTATAGATGATGCATGCTATGTATGGCTTTGGCCCAAGAGATGTAGGCTCAGATCATAGTCTCCACCACCACTTCATAATGAGGGAACTGTTTAGGGATTTGATCGTACCAACACCAAGCCCGCCAACGTCTTTGGATGCGGTGACTTTGTCCCAAGAGACCCAGTGTATGCTTCTTTTTTCGTCTGTTCCACCCCATAAAAACTTCCTATGAATTCGTTCTAACGTCTCAATTACCCCTTCCGGCGCCACAAATATCGAGAGGTAATAAGTTGGTAGGTTACCCAAGACCGATTGAACAAGCGTTAATCTACCACCAAATGATAGGGTTTTGGATTTCCATATTGACAATTTTTTATGGAATCTCTCAATCATCGGTTTCTAGTTTTTAATTAATTTCATGTTCGCCCCAACTGGAACCCTAAGATAAGTGAAAGGGAGAGAGGATGGTTTGCAACCAAGAGTTATGGCCCATCTTGAGACTTCCTGCGTATCAGCACCGATACCAAAAACCTTGGATTTATCAAAGTTTACTTTGAGATCGAAAGAAGCATGAGGTTTTTTATGTTTCTTTTTGACCATTCACCGACAAACAGTGCGTCGTCGGCGTATAGTAAGTGAGAAATCGTTGGTCCACCGTTTGGTAGTGTTAAGCCCTAGAAGACTCCAGTTTCACATGCAACCCTCATGGCTGCACTTAAACCCTCCATATCTATGATGAAGAGGACCGGTGATAGTGGGTCCTCCTTCCTAATCCCCTTTGAGATTGAGAAATCCTTAGTCGGGCTCCCGTTAAACAAGACCGATGATTTGGCTTATTCAAGACAACCCTTAATCCATGCCTTCCATTTGTCTCCAAATCCCATAATTTTTAAGTTTGAATGAAGGAATCACCAATTTATGGAGTCGAATGCTTTATCAAAGTCAACTTTGAAAAGCAAGACCTTCCTTTTCGACTTTATTTCCCAGGCACATAGTTCATTTACTATCAACGGCCCATCAAGAATGTTCCTACCTTCAACATACACAGATTGTACTTCATCTATGCACTTCCCCATAACCTTCATTGTTCTTCGTGCAAGGATCTTAGCAATGATCTTATATAAGGATCCTGTTAGGCTGATGGGTCTAAAATCACATAACATGATGGGGTCTTTAATTTTTGGGAATAAAGAAAATGAATAAAGAGTTGCACGATTTGTCTAGTTTCCCGTATTGCTCAAAATGTTTCACCAAAACAACAATATCTCCCAGCAATACATCCCAATACTTTTTTATGAGTTTGAATGAATATCCATCGAGTCCAGGGGCCTTCTCGTTTCCGTAAACCCATTGCCTCCTTAAAGTGGTGTTTCTAGCATCTGAAAATCATATAGGGTGATCTTTTTAAACTGGTTGTTTCTTAGTTTCGGTTTAGAAGGCCATGTTTCTTTAAATTTATTGGCAAAAAAATTTAAAGACCTCAAGTTTTATCAATGTTGGGTCGGTGCACCATTACCCGTTGATCACGAGTCCATCAATCCCATTTTTCATATTATTATTGTTAACATGACTGTGAAAGAAGTGAGTGTTTTCATCCCCGTCAACAACCCATTTGACCTGAGACTTTTTCTTTATGTCCAACGCCATGTGTTTTTCGAGTTCTGCATTTTTTTTGAAACTGTCCCTTCGCATCCCCGCTTCTTCTATGTCCAGTGTCCTGGATTCAGCTTCGTGTCCAATCGTTCAACCTCCGATTTGAGTTTAATTGAAGCAGCCTATTCTATGGGATGTTCTGTTGCTATCCATTTCTTTAAGGCTTCTTTGACGTGTCTTAGGTTTGCCGCCATGTACTGGACTGGGGTTCCGTACCCAATGAAATTATTCCAACTGGTTATGAAAGTCTTCTCAAAACCGTCTCTCAATAACCAAGAGTTGAAGAGCCTGAATGGTGGGGGCCGAAATCCGATTTGGTGGTAGAGAGTAATATGGGGCAGTGGTCGGAGAGTTCTAGTGGCAGCGCGGTGACAGATGTTTTGGGAGCAATATCAAGAAAACTGGGGCTGATTAGGAAGCGATCTAGTTTTCTCAGTTTTATGTCTTCAATCCGAAAGCATGTATATTTGAACCCACCCATTTTGAGGTAAGTGAATTCCACCTCTTGTATGAATTTATTGAAGTCTCTATTTGTACGAGCGCAGAAAATCAAATTGAATCTCTCCTCAGGTCTCCTTACACCATTAAAGTCCCCCATAATGATCCGCACACCATCGATGGCTTGTATGATTCCTTTCAGTTCTTCCTATAACAGTGCTTTTTCACGTACTGGTTATGGTCCATAAATATTAACAAAGATTAGTGGTCTTGATATGCCTTCCCAAGTGCCAATATTAATCAGGTAATTGTGAGAAGAGATAACTTCAGTAGAAGTGAACATCTTATTATCCTGCAAACTTAGTAGACCTCCAGGCCTATCGTAAGAGCTGGTACGATTGACACCAAAATTAGTAGATCCCCAACAAGCCCTTGCATCGCTAATCTCATCATTTAGGAGTTGTGTTTCTTGAATTACAATAAATGATAACTTATGTTTTCTTTTAAGTCGTCTGATCCATGCCACCTTATGCTCGCCCCCAACACCGTTGTTATTGACAGAAAGGAAATTCATTGGGGAACATTGTGCTCACCTGATACACCGAGGATTTCAGCTAGGATACGATTATTTGGGTCAATCTCGAACCCAATTAGGGAACCCACTGTTGCAGTTGCTTCAATTTCTGTTGATTCTACTACTAGGTTAGTTGATTCATTTTTCTGGACAACGACCTTCTGGACATCGATGGGTTGAGGGGCCTGAGTTGGTTCATCTGGGTTGGTGGTGGGTACAGTGAAGGGGGGGTTGACTTATTTCAGGGACTTGAAACAGGGTGGTAATTGGGACCGAAGTTGCAAGTTTACTGGAGGGAGAACGATGCAAGAAGCGTCTCTTTAGAGAAGATTGGAGTTGACCATTATATGTACTTTTTTGAACCACTGGAGGAGGAGTAAAGTTAAAAGAGGGAAATGGCCGAAGCACCCAGATTAGGCTAAAGAAGTTGGGAAATTGACAGTTGTCTTTGGGCCCAAAGTTTGAGGATCCGAGGATGTTGGAGTCGTCTGATTATCTAGGGCGGCAACCCGATCCTTCATACCATTGTCTTTTGAATTTCTTGGAAATTGAGTGTCGGTTCGTAGACCCTATTCTCGAAAATCGTTCTTTCCTCACTGGAATTGCCGGTCTTCACCGACGATTCTATTCTATGGAGATGATGCATGTCATCTCCGGCCACCATGCATGACAGTGTTGGGTCATCACTACCTTCATTAGTCTTTTCTTTCATAGGATAGATTGGAGAGTTAAGATTCCCATCCTGAACGATTTCCCCCTCCTCCATTTCATTAATCCATGTTGCAAAGGCGCCTTCATCTTCATCTTCTTTAGTAGAGTTCCAGTGCTTTGACTCACTTACCATAAATTCATTTTCAGTTTGATCATCCAGGTCCTGATCTTCATATGGATGTTCTTCATTGTCAAACTTGAAGGGGAACCATGGTTTGTCTTCGTATTCAACGATTCCAACGTGAAAAGATCGACTATCAGCTTCCACCTGAATCTCCTTATTAAGTTTTGTTAATTTGTCTGTGAGTATGGCTAACTTCACCACAAAGAGGTAAACACGATTTGTGATATGGTCTATAGGCACCACGATTTTCCCGATCTTTCTTACAATAGTAGAGAAGTTGGAATTATTCCATAGTCGGAGAGGGAGTCCAACAATCCTAATCCAAATTATGCGTTCGAATTTTGTGGCTTCAATGGATACCATCTTCTTCTATTTGAATGTATCTTTCCAATTCCTCTCGTTTTCTAGGAATTCTCTTGCAATGACTATGGAATCAAAGCTAATTAATGCAAGCATCCCTCTAAGGTATTTGACTGAAGGGCGGCGTTCGCTGTGGATGGATATGAGAGTTGGCATGTGACTAAGGTGATCCAAATATTTAGCTTCGCCGATGAGGGTGGATTTTGTGAGCCATCGATCCATGTCAGCATCTGTATGCAAGTAGATCAGAGCAGATGTTTGGTGAATGTTTTGTAGAGACCAATAACCTGAGCATAGGTTTTGTGATAGGTAAGTCCACCTCCATTGATATTGGTGTTTTGTCCTGGGGGGGCGACAATTCTAGAATTCTTGTTGATTTTATCGGGAGATAGTGGACGTGTTTTCCGGCCATGCCTTGCAACGTTAATCTCAAGTTTGTTGTTCCTACATGCAACACCGTTCAATCACGATTCCAAAGCTTTGACATTAGATGCCTCGATGAACCGTATGAAGCCATAATTTTTCCCGTTCTTCCGTTTATTACTCCCAAAACAGATATCTGATAATCTTCCCATTTGAGAAAAGATTTTCCCGAATTCTGCTTTTGTTGTGTCGTTCGGTATGTTAGTGATGAAGAAAGTGGTTACCTCTGTCGTGTTTCCGTTGGACGTCGCCACTGTTTTACGCCGCCTCACTTCCGTCCATCCGTCTTCCATGTTGAGAGTTCTCATTGCTTCAAGACTATACTCTTTTATAGGATGGGTTTTATAATTTTTCAATCATTAAATAATGGGAAAATGACTTGTAAGGTTAATGATCTTTTACTCGTTTTTAAATTATAGCATTCATGTTTTTTTTAACAAAAAATACCATTAATATGTGTTTTGTGTACACATATTACCATTGGCAACCGGATACAATAGGTTATCTTGGTATTTTGTAATTAAAAATAAAATAACGAGTGATGTGGAAAATACGTGGCTATTACACATACATCCCCCCTCCTAAAGGATCTTAGGGCACGATTTCTTCTTTAAAAATGTTGCAGGATTTCTTCCATCCATGGCTTCCTCCTCCACGCATAACTCCAACACGAGATCGAAGAAACCCAAGTTAAAATCGAAACTTGATTTTGCAAATCCTTGTGATTGTGGCTACCTTTCTCGTATTTAGCTTCAACGACCAAAGATAATCCTGGAAAAGAGTTTAGGGTTTACCCTAATTCAACGGTATGTGGGATTTAATCTATATGTAGTAAGGTTTTTTTTCAATACTTTTTGTATTATTTGTTTTAGGATAACCTAGAAATTAAATGCAAATTCTAGGAATGGGTTAATGAAGACGATACAATCAACAACAAGAAAAGACATGAAGTGGGAGCACAATCCTGTGAAGTGAGGGCACAATCCTGTGAAGTGAGGACTGCCATTATGGACCATGATTTCAATATTTACAAAAAGAAGATAGATGAAGAATTTGATAAGATGAGTAGGAAAATTAGTAGTCTCACTTTTAAGAATTTGATAAGAATTTGATAAGATAGAAGTTATGTAATTGTGTTGTTTATGTTGTTTGTAGTATCACTTTTAAGGGCATAAATGTCAAATTGTAAATGGATGTTATGGTTGAATCTTATGGTTGTTTTGCTTAATATGATTGAATATTATGTTTGAATACGAATTACATGAATAAATGTGAAAAATTATAGTTGGATGTTATGGTTGAATCGTATGTTGTTTGTTGAATTAGCATGTTTTGTTGTTGCTAAATTGACAATTTGAAAATGAGACAAATTTGCAGAATTTTACCCTTGTACAAACAACATCCCTCACTTTTGAGTAAATAACTGAAATGGTCCCTGTGGTTTAGGTAAAATTGCATGTTTAGTCCCTAACTTTTTTTTGCACTCGTACAGTCCTCAAGGTTTCATTTTATTACGCGCCTAGTCCCTATTCACGTTTCCTATCACTCTTCTCCATTAAGTATCTCACGTGACTGGCACACTAAGGGTATATTCATCCTTTTATTTGAAAACCCTTTTTGAAGGTTGTATAATGTGTTTCTCTCTCTCTCTCTCTCTCTATATATATATATATATATATATATATATATATATTCTAATCACTTTCACTTCATCTTTCTCCATCTTTTTGCTTCTTCTCTGCAACAACAAAACAATAGTAGGAACCCTAATGGCACGAAATTGCAGTTGTGGTCACCCAACTGTAATACGAACATCAACGACGAAGAAGAACCCTGGACGACGATTCTATGCTTGTACCAACAAGGTAATTTGTTAATTGAGCCCCATTAGTAAAAAAACCTTTGACGAAGGAAAAAATATCAAAATTTCAAGTAACAACTTGTGGTTTTGTTGGTTGGGTTGATAAAGATGAGTCTGATCATGCAAGAGCTGACCTTTCACTTCTATCAAAGCTTGAAGGTCAGAATTTGAAGTTGAGGATGCTACTACTCTTCAGTTGGGCTTTTTTTGTGGCGATCCTAATTTACAAGCTGTAATTTAGTCGATGTAATTTAGTCAATGTAATTTATAAGGCTTTTACTTTATTTTGTGGGAATTGACAATTATGTTGATGGTCTGTAGGATTTGAAAACAATTATCTCCATGTATTTATTTAGTGCTTAATAGAATTGGTATTTCGCAAGAAAAAGGGTTAACTGATCAAAATGTTATGTTGATGGTATGTCAGAATTGAAAACAATTATCTCTGATGTTTTTAGTGCTTAATACAATTAGTATTGTGCAAGAAAAGGGTTTAACTGATCAAAATGTAACACATGTTTATTCTATTTGTATGAATTTAAATCAAAACCATCAATCAGTGACAATTATATCCATTTAAATGTAGAAATTGGTATGAACTTAAATGCCAATAAGTGCAGCAATCTGACCAACTTTAGAACCAACCATCATATCTAATTACCATGCGGTTATACCCTTACAAAAGATACAAGTTCCAAAAGATACAAGGTAATTATAGTAATTGTTAACAGTTAAAACTAAGACATTAAGCAACAAAAGATAGAAGTTCCAAAAGCTAATACATTAAGCAACATAAATACTAGAAAATACTTCTTCAAACAACATTCTTTCCTTTCTTTCCAGCACTATTTGGTTTCTTCCCAACACCAACTACTTTCTTCTTCCCAGCACCATTCTTTCCTTTCTTTCCAGCACCATTTGGTTTCTTCCCAGCACCAACTGCTTTCTTCTTCCCATCACCATTTGTTTTCTTCCCATCACCATCTGCTTTCTTCCCTACACCATCTTCCTTCCCAACACCATTTTCTTTCTGACCTTTGTAACTTCTAGCATTATGACCATTATTTTTGCATTTCGAACATGTCACAAATTTATTTTTCCTTGAAGCACTATTCCCCTTCACCAAATCTTCCACATCAGACTTCTTTCGTTTCTTTTTTGGTCTTCCAATAGGGACATGATGTTTAGGAGGTATCAATGTGGTAGGGAAAGGATATTTTTCCTACATTCTTCTTCCATTAATAGGTTCAATCTTGAAGGAATACATTTCCTTCCATGTTTTTAGCCAGTAAGTGGGATGAACCCATGATTCAGGCAACCCTACATCTTTGTTGTTTTTTCTCATATCCCATATTGCAACTATTGCATGCTTACATGGGATGCCAGTGAGTTCCCGTTTCCTACAAGAACATGTGTGTTGAACCATGTCAACAACACACTGGTCCATCCATGGTCCATCAAGACCCTAAATACAAATATTAAGTTAGTAATCAAAAACATTAAAAATAGATGAGAAAAAAAAATTGTAAACTTACCACTACAGTGAGGACTATTCCTGGATAAGGACCCTTCATAAAAGACCCATCCAAACCAAGATAATCTCGTTTTCCAGCTGCAAAACCATTCTTCAATGACCCTAAGCATATGTATATCCGCTTGAATATTCTTGATTCACAGTGGGGATTGGGTTCAGTTTCAACTTTGATTTTCACGGTGGTGTCTGGGTTTCGTGTTTAAAGTTCCAAAACATAGTCTCTTAGTATAGAGTATTGGCCTGCATAGTCACCTCTCACATGAATATTTGCCTCGGTTTTTTCCCGAAATACCTTCATCTTTGAAATGTCACATTGGTATTGGCGTTGGAGTTGTTCTTGTAGAGCTCTTGTAGGAATTGTGGGGTTACTTTCCACCTATTGCACAATTTGCTTGGATAAAAACTTGTAAGTACAAGCTTTCACAGTCCTCGTTTGTAGACATACATGTTTTTTTTCATATGTACGAACCTCCCAATCTGCATTGTTACTCCACTTGCTTGCATATAGGACCCACAGGCACTTCCTTTCTTCAACAGGCCCACCAACACCTACTTCAATAAGGTCTGGTATGCTACCTTTACAAACGGCCCTTACCCTATTTTTGTCATTTTTAATTATGACAATCTCTCTTCTAGTCTCGACAGCATGTTGCTTTATTTTGTTTTTCAACTCTTCAGATCAACCAAAACTCTGATACAAGTAAAAGGGATCAGTAACACGCGCTTCACTATTTTCTTTAGCCTCTCGTATTGCTTTAATTGACTTACTTCTACTTTTATCCCCCCTCCTCATCGGATGACGAATCAGATATCAATATGTCATTGTTAAGCACCTCGATTTGTTCATCTTCCTTACCATCTTCTACATTCATACTTGACCCTCCATTGTCACCCATCCATTCTGCATTTTGGTCAATGTTCGAGAAAAATTCTTTCATAACTATGTCAGGCTCCTCAATCATGTTATCCTCGTCTAATAGGAAGTCACTATCTTCACTGTCAGTCAAATCATCACCATGCACTCCTATGTCCTCACTTTGATTGACCTCATCTTGTACAAAAGAAGTAAAGTCTTGATCAAAGTCTTCTACAAATGAAGTTAAGTCTTGATCAAAGTCATTTAGAGGGTTTTCACAATGATCAAAGTCTTGATCAAAACCTTGTGTTTGAAATTGAGGTTCATTTGGGGGGTTTTCCACATTGGTCAACTTTTGGTATGGTAGAACCACTACAATCCCCTGTTGTTGATGTCTTCCATTCTAAGAAAAGCCTTTTAGAACATGCAGGGGGTTCAATAATTTCCTTAATCCTAACTTTACTAGGGTTAGGGGACATTAAATACGTCTTCAACATTATATTACCATGCTCTATATAAACTTCAATAAGTTTATGTTTCTCCACATATGTCCTCAAGTGGTTAATATCACTATCACAAGCCAAAGCAAACAAACCAGTGTCCAAATCTGATAATGGTCTTTTGAAGTGATAATACAATAACTTACCTTCCTCTACGCAACTAAGGATGTCCATCATTTCATCAATATCATGAATAGAGAACTCGTCAATGTCCACTAAATCAACATACTTTACTTTTCCCTTTATGTATCTCCTTCCAGGAAACTTTGTAAAAACTCCATTATAAAACAGTTTAATCGAGAAGATTGATGGATTACCACCTGCGAGAACGGGAATGAAGCTTAGGTTTTGAGAGTTTTTGATTTAGATGAGAGTATTAAAAACAAAAATAGTTACTGTAAACTCGTCCAACGTCTATTTCCGCCATGTCTGCTCGAATCCTCCACCCCACCATTGTTGCCTTTAGGAAATCTTGATTAAAATTGACTAGGTTAGGGTTTTCTAAGTGATTTAGTTGATAGAAGTGGTATGTGTAATGTAAACGAGAAAGATGATCGGGAAGATATAAGAAACCTTTGCCATATCCATTTAGGCGCCATGTGTAAAAGGATGAATATACCCTTAGTATGCCAGTCACGTGAGATACTTAACGGAGAAGAGTGACAGAAAACGTCAATAGGGACTAGGTGCGTAATAAAATGAAACCTTGAGGACTGTACGAGTGCAAAAAAAAGTTAGGGACTAAACACGCAATTTTACCTAAACCACAGGGACCATTTCAGTAATTTACTCCTCACTTTTTAATGTCTAGAATGGTCAAAAATAATGTGAAGGGCATAATGGTCAAAAAGAAGGAATCCTATGTAAAAGCAACATTGAACGATGTAGATTCTATTTAAAGGGTAATAACAAACAAAAGCAAAGTTTTTAATGTGCAGATTTACATCAAAAGACAAAATCATAGTGTTTACCAAAAGACAAAAGCATAGTGTTTTCTGCCCTAAACAAAATACATACTTAAAGGCCAATAACAAACAAAAGCATAGTTTTTAATGTGCAGATTTACATCAAAAGGAATCATTCCAGAGTAACAGGTTTAGTCACACTTAAACCACTTGCATCCTTGGTGATGACAACCCTCTTCAATGCCATTTTGGTGATCCTCTCTGAGTATCTCCTTTGCCTATTCAATGGTCGTGCTACTTGTTCAACTTCAACAAGAGGTTGTGCAACTTGTTCCTTAACATCTTCAATCACAGGTTTAAATGCAACTTGTTCCTCAACTGCAACTTGTTCCTCAACAAATTCCACTTAAACAACAGGTTCAACAACATGTTCTATTTCAGGTTCAACAATAGGATCAACAACTTGTCCCTGATCAGGTTCAACAACAGGTTCCATTTCTCCTTCTTTAGCCATCTCTTCAATCTCAGATTCATACTCATCATCAACTTCAGCCATCTCTTCAATCTCAAATTCTCACTCATCTTCAACATCAAGAACATGTTTACCCTTCTTCTTTTTGGGTTTAGTACTTGGTCCTACATTTAAATTTATAATGCATTAATAGATAATACTTATATTTTTTGTAAATGAATGAAAGCTGATATGAAAACAACCTTCTTTGGACAATAGACATTTGATTTTTTTGTGACATGGTTCTCTACGGATGTTGCATTTTGTAATAGCCCCTTTCTTGCTAATAGTACATCGACCTTCTTTTTCTGAAGCAACTTTCTTCCTGTTGACTTTAGGCCTACCAAGAAATCTTCTACGTTTCGGGGGCAACATATTCTGACCAATGTTGGATGGACACATTTCACTTCCATTTAAAGGCTTAATTATATACTTATAGCAATTTCCAAACCTTTGTGTTATGAACCAAGTTGCCACATAGTCTTCCACATTCTCATTTAGATAACTAATAGCAGCCATGGCATGTACACATGGTGTACCGCTTAGTTGCCATCCTCTACATGCACATGTTCTTTGGTTCAAGTACACAACATAAACCTCATGTACTAACCTCACATCAAATTGTTGCACTCCACTTGCAATTACATGCCAATACCTATAAAATAAAGGGATATAGTATAAAAGTAGTACTTGGGAATTATATGGTTGGAATACAATAAAAGTATATATACCTTAGATGTGTCCTCATGTCCACTATTTTCCTTCTAATAGATGGACATACGACTAGATTCCATTTCTGCCCCTTCAATCTTTTACAATACATCCTATCCATCACAAACCTCCTAATTTCCTCTAACATTGTTATAATCGGCTTTTTCCTAGCATCCACAATTGCAACATTAAATGATTCACAAAGACCATTCTCAATGGCATCACAACACATGTCCAATACAAAAAAAACCATAGACTAGGATTTTGGATCTCTTTCCATCAAGTGATCATATGCTTGTATATCAATCAAACTAATCTCTTTCATTATACCTTCAAACCTATGGATAGTTGTGGCCTTTGTAGCCCTCCAAAGAAGCTTCTTATATTCAGCACCTATAAATTTTTTCTTGAAATTAGCATATATGTGCCTAGCACATTGCCTATGCTCAGCATCTGGTACTCTTTCTTTAACAGCCTCAATAAGACCCTAAACATGCAAGATAAACAAAACATTAAGATAAATAAAATAGTAACCAATTAAAAAATAGTTAGGATAAATACCTTGTGTTGGTCAGAAAGTAAGGTTAATCCTGCTCCATTTCCCATGTCAATGTCATTAAGCAGTAAGTCTAGAAACCACTTCCAAGTTTCTTTATTCTCAATTGCAACTACTGCTCAAGCAATGGGGTAAATATGGTTGTTAGTGTCTCTTCCTATAGCTAAAAGAAGTTCACCTCTGCAAATACCTTTTAAAAAGCAACCATCTACACTTATAACCCTCATGCATTCTTCAATCCAACCATCCTTTACACATTTGATACAAACATACATCCTAGAAAAATAAACTGTGGAATCAGGAATTGTATCCGTCCCAATTTTCACTGTTGACCCTGGATTTAATCTCAATATCTCAGCTCCATAACTCCATAATTTTTCATAATGTGTATTCAAACTGCCTTCAATCTCATTAAGTGCAGACTTCTTTGCATTCCTGCATTGTCCAACACTAACCTTCACATTGAAATTTTCCCCAACTTTATCCCTCACTTCCCTACAACTCATTTTGGGATTTTCTAAAATATCATTAACAAAATGTTTCCCTATCCATGGGTAAGTAACAACTAACCCAAAGTTGAAGGTTCTAGCATAGTTATGCTCATTAATTAAGGACTTGATTTGGAATGATTTTACACTGCTCATCCAAGTAGCCCATAGTCTAAAAGGATATGTCGCCTTTCCTTCACTAGTTTTACAACACCTGACTAGCAACCTAGTTTTATCATTTTTTTCGTACCAAAGGTTATAACCGTTTGCTACAGCATAGTGTGATACAAGTTGTTTAAGTTCTTGATGGTTACAAAACCTCTTACCAAGGATGGGTTGCATTGTATCCCATTTCTGAGTTGTGTCATGAAAAGGATAAATTAGGTCTTGTTTGGTTCCATTATCTGAATCATCATCCTCATCAACAAAATCATCTCTTAGGACAACACTAATATGGTTAAATAAGGGATCATCAAAATTAGTCAATGGTATTACCTCTTCATCGGGTTCATGATCAACAGATAGAGCATCAGACGTGACCGAGTCCTTATCTTCATCAGAGCTTTCACTATCAACACCTTCTTCTTCCTTTTTTTCCTCTATCCATTCAAATACCGGTTCATTGTAGTGATCAACATATACATTGATCTTTCCCTCGTTACCATTTGCAGCATCAAGAAATCTCGTGTAGTCATCATCATTTTTCAGTAGTCTCAACCCATCACGGATCGACTTATGCCCAAGACAGTAGTAGACATCAGGACACTTCCCCTTTGTGACATCTTCAAGAACATAAATGAACTCCTTGATATTTAATCCACCAAAATCGACATTTGTAATTGAAGTATTTAGATTCATGTAGTAGATAAGAGGATTGGGGGAAAATATTCCATCGTAATGAACATCTACTTGAATGAAAGTAGTTCCTTTTGCATCAGATGGACCAGCCATCATCGATCTCAAAGAAAACTTCGAATGTATGAGAAAACCCTAGACAAAGTGTGTGGTTTGAGAGTGTTTAATTGAGAGACGGGTGATTAATGTCATGTAATCATATAAGTGGGTGTAATAGCCACATATTTTCCACATCACTCGTTATTTTTTTTTAATTGCAAAATACCGGGATAACCTATTGTATACGGTTTGCCAATGGTAATATATGTACACAAAACACATATTAATTGTATTTTTTGTTAAAAAAAACATGAATGGTATAATTTGAACACGGGTAAAAGATCATTACCCTTACAAGTCATTTTCCGTTAAATAATAGATAATTATAAACTAATATATATATATATATATATATATATATATATATATATATATATATATATATATATATATATATATAATTAAATAGAACAAGGTTTTTATATACAAGAAGCTCTTTCTTTTTGAGTTATTTTATAAAAAATCTTAAAAAACTCTCCATAATATGATATTTTTTTCACAATTTTTTTTTTGATTTGTCTCATCAAACCTATTTCTATTATTTTATTAATTTTTTGTATAAGTTTTCTGATTAGAACTAATTAAATATGCAATGGCCCATTATAACGATTGATAAAGCTACTAAAGAGTTTCTTAATTAATAAACTTCCTTAAAAGTATTAAATAAGAAAACTCCCATAACAAAAAGAGAGATTTTTTCTTTTATAGTTTTTTCAAAATAATTAGCTTTCAAAATGCTTCTATATTATGTATGCTCTAATAAGACCAAGGGATGTTATACTTCACTCCTTATACAATTTATGTATGTTACATCAAAGCCATGTTGTTTCCTTTGCACTTTCCCCGTCTCGACACTTTTTACTTATGAAATGGTACATTCTTTTTACTTAGGAAATGGTCACTCTCTCTTTCTCTCATTTTTATTTTCTAACAAAAATAAAAACAATTTTAATAACACTAAAAAGAAACTATATTAAAAAGTTAAGTACTAAAATAAAATTATAAAAACAACATCAACATTAAAAATAAAATATAACATTAACATGTGGATTCAAAGAATGTGAAATGTATTCAAATATAGCTTACAGAGTGTGAGATATGGATCCACCTTTTGATATGTTGCTACGTTGATCTTCATTGGTGGATATCGTGTGTCACCAGACTATGAGTGGACGTAGAAATTGAGAGGAAAAATATTAACTTAGTAGCATTACTGGGTGAGGACTCGATCAATAATACTCTGATGCCTAAGTTAGCACAACAATTCATGGCATTACTATATGAGCGATGTCGAGAGCGTATTTGTTAGGAGTATATGACCTCTACTTTTCCCTGCCTTTGATCGACGGCGTTTTTGGTTTACATAGATGGTAAATGGGTAATGACAGGTAATGTGATGATAGTATCGATATGCAGGATATTATTGTTTATAGCTATCATGTTGAGTAGATCATGGTTGTATACTTATATTATTAATGTATAGAAGATCTGTACTTGTCCCTGATCTTAAGGGATTGCATGCATGCTTTTTAAATCGTCAACACTCTTCCTGGTAATCGGATAATCATTTGGTAGTCTTATTCGACATTGACTACATGGTTGTTTCATATTCGGCTACAGCCAACCGCATAGCGGGGTCCCTCATCAAACAACTCAAAAATCTGAAGAAGATGATGGATCCACGCTACCTTCTAGTTTCCTTGCACGAATATGGAGTTCCTTCTTCCTCAAGATTCACCTGAATCCAAAGAAAAAACTCTCAATAATGCATGGAGGCTAGGGTTTCATTTTGAAAGGTTGAAGGCTGAAGAATATGACCTAATCATGAGTTGAAGCCTTTAAATATGGAAGAAATCCTAAATTTGATGGGTTTGGGCTGCAACAGCTACCACATCGTGGTCATCAGCCTACCATGTTGTGGTACGCATGGGCCAGCATGCTCAAAATCTGATTTAAGCCCATTATCACTCTCAGCCCAAAGTCTCAATACCCAGCCCAAGAAACTTATTCCTTAAGATCTAAATTAAATCCTTTGCAACCTTTACTGACCGAACCATCAATTTAAGATTATCTGGAAAAGGATGTTAGATCTTGATAAATTAAGTCATAAAAAACTTAATCATGGAACATAATTGGAATATACCCATGTGTTTAGTTATGCCTACAAAATTCTATACATTTTTCTGTTGGGTTTTGAGCATTCTAACACTCCTATGGTGTACATGCAACCCTAAATACCTTGGATCTATGTTTTCTCTATTATACATGCAAATATCAATTTCCAAGGTATTTATCCTAACTAGCATATTATGAAGTACAAGTAATATAAAATCTAGTAGAATGACATACCTCTTTTTTGGTGCTTGATTCCATGTAGCTTAAGAGCCTAGTACCCCAAGTGTGACACCTCAAATGGTTCACACAACATCATGAACACTATGAATAACTTGAGATAAAGTAGAACACTTCTAAAAAACGGGTTGCCCTCTACATACGTACATAGTGGCTGATTTCTTCAATAATAAGATCATTATATAGTTAGTCACAATTAGGGTAAACCCTAATTGTCATGGCTTTCCATTTCCTTGGATCCATGTTTTCAAATACACCATGGAGCATCCTATGGGTTTTAGCCCAACTTGATAATCCATGGAGCATTAGCCCACTATATAAGTATGGATGATTTACACAATCAACCCATATATTTTAGTCTTCTTTAGATCACTTAATTAATTCTAGATTAATTTTTGATCAATACTAATTAAATAATCTTATTAATATATTAGAACTTATAATATATTAATAAACCTTAAGTGTTATTTCTCTCATTTTAGTCTATCCAAGTGCATGATGCCATGCAACCCAAATGGACCATGTAGGGTCGGGTCAAGTATATACCAATTATAGTTGTGGACTTAGACACTAATCCAACAATCTCCCACTTGGATAAGTCTAAAGCTATTATTACAAGTACGACTTCATAACCCAACTGGCAATCGTAGCTCTCAAAAGCCACTATCGAACTCTGAACAAATCAATGACGCGTCCATTAGATAAGTGATCATATATTCCTCCATTCTAGATATCATATGGACTGAGACATGGATTACAATCATTCTCTCTATCCATTTGTTGTTTCCCGATTTCCGATTTATGACGACTGAATAATTGAACAAATCAAATCAGTCCAGGCCCGGCCGAGCACTTACATTTTTTCATCACTAAATCATCGAGGGGCCCACAGATATCGCTTTTGTCCCTTTGAGGGTAAAAGGAATGGATAAACTTTGACTCATATGCTTGTACTGACTACTTGTTGAATCATACACAAAGGCATGTTTTATAACATCGAGTTACCAATGCGTTTTCGTGCAATCAATGTATAACCAACTCATAGTTAACAACTCATATATCTAGGTTTGAAGAATATAAGATATTATCGTCTCATGATTCACTCGTGATAAAATCCATAAAGTGATTCAAATGAGCGAGGGTTTAATCCAATACTTAGAACTTATGAGTACTCATGAATGTTGTAGCAACCATTGCTATGTCTAATGCACCTTAGACAAATCTTACAAGCCAGATTCATGACAGTATTGATTCATATCTACTTCTTACATATGACCAACTGTGGATGGTTTGAATAACTTAGTCATCCAAGAAGAACGACCTAGTCATTCTGGAAGTCAAAACATGCAAAGTGAAACACAAGAATAATACTAATCCTATATGGCCCCAATACTTTGAGTGTAAATAAAAAACACCTTTTTATCTAAGCACCATACTGATTACTCATTATCTAATGTTTTCTATATATCAACTTAATACTTGAATTAAAAAAGTAGTCACGCCATGCTCTAAGCATGCACACCATGTTTGTCCAAACAACAGCTATGCCATAATCCAAGTACGCACACTATGTTTTCATATGGTCCTCTCCTTGTGAAACAGATCGATTGACAATATTTCAATGATGCTCATTTCACAATCCCAATCCTCTTGTCATTTACTGTAATTTGTTAGATTCTAAACTTATATGAAATGATTTTCTTGTAATGACAACGCCCAAAAGTCACAAAGACTTGGAAACAAACATTACAAAGAATTCCAATGGAGATCAATTCCATGGAAACGAAGTCTCAAATTCAAACTACATTCCTTTATACATCCTTCTTGCATTAAGTTCTCTAATCTTACACAGATTCAAAGAATACCTTCCACATATGGAAACAATTCCATATTACCATTTTGACAATCACTTCTGAACACGAGTTTCCTCTTTTCAAAATATGTCAATATGGTCCTTACTATATACTTATAATTGTCCATGAGCAACCAATCTTTGGTAAACCTCAGATTATCCTCGACAATTTGCTTAATCATTTTAGTCATTTCCAGTTCTATTCCTTTTTCCATCTTAATTCCCTAGGCATTTGGAAAATTTAGACCAGATTATAGGACATGTAATCGAACCTATACCCAAAGCATATAGGACACGATTCATGCTATAAATTTTTATTTGCCATATTCTCACAATTCGAACTATGAAGAGTTATACCGTAATTATAGCGAATTTTGAGAACGCAACATATATAGAATTTCCTTATGTTGAACCATTCCAACATAACAGTCTTATATATCCTTGACTAAAGTAGATTAAAATCTCAATCTAAGCTTGTAGAATTGGAATGAAGTATAAAATCCTCTCCCTTAATTATAGAAAAACAAAATTTTCAAGGCGAATTGAAACTTTTGTTTTCTATAATTAATATTGCTAACTTGAAACACTTAACATAATAATCATGTTCCAACTAGCATAATGATTATTATCTTACTAGCATAACACTTATGCTCCCACTAGCTTTGACATGTATTCAGAGATCAACTGGACTTCTAGAAATCAATACTTTATTGACTTTCTCACAAAAGTTCAGATTTCTAATACGAGATTGCTTTGATAAGACTTTATCAAAATCATACACCTTTCCTTAGATAGC